TTTACCGCTTTCCGCAGGCCCGGCCAAACGAACTTGGCGCTGACCAGCTTGACCGAAGCCTGTACGCCCGGGTTAGAGATGGCATGAATGGAGTCGAAAACACGACGGCGCCACGAAAGGGGAACGACCGGGCGCGGGCGACAAGTCGCACAGCAAACTCTGACCACCGTTTACGGACCTTCGCCATGTCTAAGGGTCAGAGGCTTATGGTCAACATACACGGTAAAACTGCAACCCTCGAGGAAAAATCGAAAATGTCGCGTAGAGAAATGCACAGCCAATAACTCTGTCGAAAACACTGTATTTATGCTCAGCGTCTCGGAGCGTGCGACTGAAAAAGGCGAAGGGCACAATCCCCAGGAACTCCTGCAACGCCTTAACCGAGATGGGATGCGGAAAAGCTGCGAAGGCCTGGACCTTGTCCGGCAACGGGACCACACCGTCAGCGCAGATGCGGTTCCCCAGGTAATCTAGGACTGGAAAACCAAACTGGCACTTGGGCAGTTAATGATCAGGCCGAGCTCCGCCAAACGCTGGAAAACCTAACGCAGATGAGATTCGTGCTGGCCTGCCGAGCTGCTGGCCACCAATATGTCACCCAGGGAGACCAAAACGAAAAGCAGCCCGCGCAAAACAGAGTCCATCAGGGCTGAAAGTTCTGGGCGACAACTTTCAACCTAAACGGCATGCGCAGAAACTCGGACAAGCCAAAAGGGGTGATGACAGCGGTTTTAGGAACATCCTCAGCGCGCACCGACACTTGGTGATTTGGGAAAAATCGAGGTCCCTGCAAGATGGGCGGAAAAATCCTGGATGTGGGGAATCGGGTAACGGTCGTTCTCCGTAACGTTATTTAAAGGCCGAAAATCCTTGCACGGTCGCCACCGCCCGTCCGACTTGGGCACCATGTGAAGTGGAGAGGCCCAGGCACTGTTCAGCCCTGCACAATGCCCAGGGGCTCCATGGCCGCGAACTCCTCCCGGGCGACGGACAGTTTCGCGGGTTCGAGACGACGCGAAACACCGGGGTACCGACCGTGGGGATATAATGCTCA